CTTTTGACACCGCCGCCTCCGCACCCTCTCCAGGAGAAACGAAACACACCGTGGCTCATGCGATTTATTTATTTGTTTACTTTTTCTCTTCCCCGCTGCTGCCACTGTGTTGTTTTTTTTTCGCGGGCTCTCTCCATTGTTATTTATGCATCCCTGGATGGCTCTCATACCGACGCATGGGAGTGAGTGAGTGTAGGGTGGGCTTGGGCCGATGTATGTGCGTACTGCGTGGTACGGAACTCTGTTACGCTTTCTTTTTTACCTTTGCACCTTTTTTTCCTTCCCTGTAAAGTGACAGAGGAAAAGAAGAAAGAGGGCCGTAAAGGTTCATGAGAGGGAAAGGAGTGACGGGAGGAGGATGGTGCACTGAGTTGAGTCCTATTGAGAGAGCCCGTTGTTGCGGAACACGGACGTGTTTCCGGCGGGGGAGCGTCGACTGATTCGTATCATTGATCCTTGCTGTCGTTGGTCGACCTCCGCGCAGAGGGTACCGGCGTCACACTCGGGGGTACGAGGCCGCCGCGCTACCCTCTGCTGCAGGCCATGAAAGGTTGTTGTTGTTGTTGTTGCTGCTGCTTGTCAGTTTGTGTCGCACGTAAAGCTCAACCGGTTGAAAAGGGCGGGGCGGGGCGTGTCGAGCCGCGCCAAACTAGGGCCCTCGCGTGCCCGTGCCCGGCTCACGCGACAGCGCGCTGCGCGGCGGGGACGTAACTGGGGCGCGGGCACGGCCCTGTTGTGTGGTCCACGTCCCGACCTTTGCACCTGCTATGAAGGGTAGGGGCACGTTTTATCACGCATGATACTTCCCTTTTCAAGCGCATACCTTGATAGATAAAACATTTCTTGTCGGCTCTGTAGCTATTATATTTTTGTGTCGTTCGCCCGTCTCAACTTTGTATTTTTTTTTCCCTTCATTTAATATTCTCTTTGGACACAGGCTGAGGGCTCCCCCCGCCGGCGGGTTTGCCTCGCCTGTGTTGCGGATGCACAATGCTGCTGTGTTAATGAGGGACCTCGTCTAAAAGACAAAACAGCTGCTGCATCTGCAGCTTATTGGTCCGGCTGTTGATCTAGCCTAGACACTTTGTCTTTTGTCTAGCGCCGTTGCACGGCGAGCTGAGGCGCAGTGAGATGGACGGGACGGCCCGGACAGGCCTAGTCGGCACACTCTCGTCTATTTCACTTTTGCTCTGCTGCTGCAGTGATGCAGTCGGACAAAAGGGCCCCGTCGTCGTGACACACAATACCTGTGCCTCTCTGCTTTCTGCCGACCTGCTTCCCTTCATTAGTTTGCACGCCATGTGTAGTAGTACCCGCGCACTGTGTAGTACGTTTGGCAAGAGATGGAACGGACTATAAAAGATTTCCCTGGAATACTTGCGAGTGGTGATTGGTCTGTGCCGGTCTGTGCACTTGCAGTGTGCAACTCCTCCGTTGAACACTTAATCTAAACTCCGTGTTTGTCTTGCTTGCCAAGATTTTGAAATTTCTGTTTCAACGCTAAATTTTTGTCTCAATTTGAGACTGCTTACTTTTGGCCTTTTTGGTCAAATGTTGTGTTCTTTTTAAGAAGGCAAAAATTTGGCATTCAACTCATTCTTGACGCACACTCTGTGGGAAGTGCTGAACTTGCAGTGGCACACCTACAACTGCTTACTGGTTGAAACACTTGGTTTATATTAGTGCTGCACTTGACGGTGTGGCTGGCGGGGTGCTCAGCGCCGTACCCAGCGCAGTGAATGTGGGTCGAGCACCGCGCATGCACGACGGATCGGATCGGCGGGATTCCTCTTCTCTCCTCTCTGTCCTCCCATTCGGCTCGAGTGGCTCCCGGGAGGATAAGAGGGGGGGAGTAGGGGGGGGGGGCAATCCAGTAAAATGCCGTAAATGCCACATTGTCACGGCGCGGCACAGAGGCACGCCCGGCCCCGCGGCCCTTTTGTCTGGCGAAAGAAAAATGGCGCGTGTCGCGGGGCGGTGGTCCAGATAACACCCCCCTCCCCCTTTACTCGATAACCGGGGAGACGAGCATGATTTATGGCCGGCGAAAAAAGAATGTGAAAAGCGAATCAACGCAGTCTATATGGGATTTTAATAACAGTACAGCCGGCTGATGAGGATTTGGTACATCGGAAGAGTTTTTCACCTCCCCTCCCCTTTCTTATAGGGCTCTTCTTTTCGCAGGGAGAGATTGTTCGCTGAAGACCTCGCTGCCAGCCCAGCACCACCATCATACCACCATCAGTAGCAGCATCACCTCCACCATGCCAGTGTGTGAAGTTTGCAACAAGAAGTTCAAGACGCCCATGGCTCTGTCGCTGCACTTCGGGTACCATGGCGTGGGCGACAGACCGTACAAGTGCATGGTGTGCCCCAAGGCGTACACTTCCAGAGCGGGCCTTGAAGTTCACTACCGCCTCCACACGGGCGAGCGGCAGTTTGAGTGTGACGTGTGCAACATGACGTTTATGGAAGCTGTCGTTCTGAAGAGGCACATGATGGTTCACACTGGGGAGAAACCGCACGAGTGCTCCATGTGCGACAAGAAGTTTACAACCACCTCGAACCTGAAGAGTCATGTTTTAAGAATGCACTCAGAGATCGAGAAGACACTTGAGTGTACCGTGTGCCACAAAAAGTGCATCAATGAGGCCGATCTTAAAATGCACCATGTGCAATATCACAAGGAAAGGCAATTGGAATGTACCGTGTGCCACAAGCGGTTTGCCTTTCAATCTACTCTTCTAGCGCACTTGCGTTATCATACAGGAGAGAAGCCGTTTAAGTGCTCTTACTGCCCGAAGTCGTTTACCGACGAGCGCGATTGCACAAAGCACACCAGAACCCATACCGGAGAGAGGCCCTACGAGTGTACCTTCTGTGACAAGAGGTTCACGCAAACTGGTGCTCTGAAGAAACATTTGTTAATCCATACCGGAGAAAAGCCATTTGAATGCACTGAGTGTCCCATGAAGTTCAGTCAGAAAGTTTCTTTAAAAGTTCATCTTCGCAGGCACACTGGAGAGAAACCGTACGAGTGCAGTGTGTGCCACAAAAGGTTTGCTCGGGACTATATTTTGACTTGCCACCTCATGACTCATACTGGGGAGAAACCAGTGGCGTGTCCTTCGTGTCCAGAGAGATTCCAGACTAGCAGTAACATGAGAAAGCACCATCGAGCACTTCATTCGGGAGAGAAACACTACCAGTGTACCGTGTGTAACAAGAAGTTCGGATTCAGCCGTGGTTTAAAATCGCATCTCATGACCCATACCGGGGAGAAACCATTTGAGTGCCCCCTGTGCCCGAAGAGATTTGCCAGCAGTGGTAACATGAAGACTCACTGTCGAATTCATAACTCAGAGGAAACAGATACTCGTTCATTCAAGTGTTCGGAGTGCCTCAAGAGTTTTGCGGAGTCCAACAGTCTGATGGAACATCTCTACAGCCACCTCGAGCAATAATTAATGTTCTCTTTCTTTTAGGATTGCGTATCTAGTCTGTCCCAAAACTTATTTTCAGTTCCTATTTCATGAACGTACTTTTATTTAACTTATTTTCGTTTTAATTTTTGCTTACGATCATCTCGTAGTATTAGCTATTTTTTGGCGATCGCCGATCGTTTTACATTCCATTCTTAAATTAAGACAATTGTACCAACATGCATTAAGATGGTGCTTTCTTCTATGATCTCCTTTGAAGTTCCTATATTTTTATGTTTCATTCGATGTATTGTATTTTCTTAAAACCGACTGATATTTCCTCCATATATTTTCAAGGTGGAGTAAGGGTACAAATTCCTAAGTAATTAATTTAAATTATAGACACGCGAATTACAATGTTTCTTTAATATTGAAGCCCAGTTTCATAGTGTGTAAAATAAATGCGTATTATGTCTTTTGAATGACTTTCACTAGTCCCAATACTAGCACTGACATGCGTATTTATATAGACGCAGAGACATTTCCCAAATTCTGCATTACTTTGTCATTATTTTAAATTGTTGTGCATGTTCATGTTGATTTCTTGATTTTCTAATATTAAAATTAACGAAATCAACT